TTAAGGATTATCAATACCGAAATGGCACCGATGTGACTTGGTTTTTTTGGAAGTGCTGTGTTTGTGTTTTGATGTAGAGATATAGGGCAATGTCGAGATTTTTTGATGGGAGTATTTTTACGAAATTAATAGAAAATGTTATCACCTCTAGAAAAATAATGATAACTGAGATAAAAGAAACCATAAAACATAAAGAAAATATTTTTATCTCTTCAAAAAAGAAGTTATGGATAAGGGGAGGGGGAATTCCACCCAGCACTCAATTGACATTTTAGTATTCAAAATAAGCTCTTCATAATGTTTCAACCACGATTTCCCCGAATAAATACAATACTAGATATATCAACATAAACAAATCAAAGAAAATCAAAATAAAACAACAAAAAATTGAAATCACTTTTCCAACACCTTGAAACTCAATATCTCGCCATAGATTTCTTTCTCGGTTTTCCAATTTCTATTTGCTCCATTTCAATTTCTCTTTAATTGAATATTATCATTGGACAAACTCCGGCGAACAACCCCTCTGGTCAAGTTTCAATAAAGAACAGAACAAAAACAAAAAACGAAAAGTACGTGAGAAAACAATTTATTTCCTCAACTCCGGTTTCACCTCCCCAGCCTCAAAAACAATCACCTTATCCCCCTCCCCACACAGGTAGTGGCATTTTAGCCTGGTTTCATTTTGGCCCCCAAAGGTATTGTTGAATGGTGGATGGATGGCTGATGATTTTAAAAGCAAAACTTGGTCCTTCAACTTTAACTTTGTTTCTCATCTTTTTTGCCACTCTCCCCCTCTCCCCATTTACTAATTTCAGTTTCCATTTTAGCTCTCTTCTTTTTTTTTCTTTTGGCTCACTAATTTCATTTTAAGATTGTGAGCAAATAATTACTTCTAAGTCTCCAGAGCTCAATTACAATTGTTGAATGTTTGAATGGCATAGAAATTTATTGTGGAAAAGGGAAAAACTTTTGGTTTTCTATTTTTTGTTGAAAAACTAGGGAACTACTTTCCTTTGGCCCAAAACAGAAAAAATGCCAAAAAACTGTGTGTTTGACAAAACTTTTAAGCAATGAAGAGTTCTTGTGCTGGTTAGAAGCTTTTCTATGGCCATGTTGTTGTTGTTGTATTTTGTGGATTCAAATTAATCACTTTTTTGTAATTTTACTCTTTCATCGGCCACAGAAACAGGAAAAAAACTTTGAATTTTTCCTTTCTCTGTGCGGTGCATCTTTTATTTTCAATATTTCACTTTGAGGTGTAGTCATTAATTTCTTGGCACTAGATGAGGGGAAGAGAGAAAAATTATCCTGGGGAAATTTCAGCAAATAAGGAATGATTTGAAAATAAATTTTGAAATTATAACAATTACCCCACACTTTGGTGAGATTTTTTCCAGTGGAAAAATTTTTCATTTTTAAACCGAAAAATTAGCGGAAAGGAAATTCTACACTGGTGATTTTTTTACGAGAAATATTTTTCCAACCGAAATATCTTTACACCTGATAAATCTAGGAAGAAGTGAGTTACGGGTAAATATATTTAAAAAAATGGTTTTCCTTAGAAAAATTATCACTACTGATAACATATTACAGAAAATTATCACTTGCAATATTTATCTACAAAAAAAAATTGTTACTAGTCAAATATTCCTATTAAGAAATTATGACTGGAGATATTTTTCTTCAATCGGGAAATAATCATTAACGAAATTTTGGCATAGGAAAATTATCAAAAATGTTTCTATTTTTTATCACAGTTAATAATTTTCGATAGAAAAGTTATGGCCTCAGATGTTTACCCTGTGTAAACAATCATTGTCTGTGATATTTTCCGTAGAAAATTTATCACTGGTGATTACTTTTCCATGAAATCATTACTTATCCATAAAAAAATATTATTGATTCTCATTGTCTGTACAAAAATTATCTCTAGGGATATTTTTTATCACTTGTTTTAAGTTTTTTTATGAAATTCAGAAAATTATCATAAAAAAGTTATTACTGGCAATTTTCCCCGTATAAAAATAATCACCGATGATATTTTTTCACAGAAAAAAATTATCTTTAGTGATATTTTTTATAACTTGTTACAAATTCCTTATGAAATTCAGAAAATTATCATAAAAAAGTTATCACTTATAATTTTTTTCATAAGAAAATAATCACCGGAGATATTTTTTTACGAAAAAAATTATCTTTAGTGATATTTTTATCACTTGTTTCAAGTTTCTTATGAAATTGAGAAAACTATCATAGAAAAGTTATCACTGGTAATTTGTCCCATATGAAATTATTTGTGATTCATAGAAAAAAATATCTCTTGTGATATTTTTTATGTATTTGAGAAAATTATTATAACAAATTTATCACTGGTATTTTTCCCCGTAAGAAAATAATCCCTAGTGATATTTCTTCATAGAGAAAAAAAATTATCTAGTGATATTTCTTATCACTTGTTTTCAATTTCTAATGAATTTCAGAAAATTATCATAGAAAAGTTATCACTAGTAATTTTTCCCATAAGAAAATAATAACTGGTGATATTTCTTCATAGAAAAAATTATCTCTAGTGATATTTTTTATCACTTGTTTTAAGTTTTTTATGAAATCGAAGAAAATTATCATAGGAAAGTTATCACTGGTTATTTTTTCATATGAAAATAATCACCCATGATATTTTTTCACAGAAAAAAATTATCTTTGGTGATATTTTTTATCACTTGTTACAAATTCCTTATGAAATTTAGAAAATTATCATAGAAAATGTATCACTGATAATTTTCCCCGTAAGGAAATAATCACTAGTGATATTTCTTCATAGAAAAAAATTATCACTAGTGATATTTTTTATCACTTGTTTTTAGGTTTCTTATGAAATTGACAAAATTATCATAGAGAATATGTTACAGGTGAATTTTCCCATAAGAAAATAATCACCGGTGATATTTTTTTCACACAAAAAATTATCTTTAGTGATATTTTTTATCACTTGTTATAAATTCCTTTTGAAATTCAGAAAATTATCATACTAAATGTACCACAGGTAATTTTTTCCCATAAGAAAATAATCACTAGTGATATTTCTTCATAGAAAAAAACATTATCTCTAGCGATATTTTGTATCATTTGTTTTAAGTTTTTTTATGAAATAGAAAATATTATCATAGAAAAGTTATCACTGATAATTTTTCCCATAAGAAAATAATCACTAGTGATATTTCTTCATAGAAAAAAATTATCTCTAGTGATATTTTTTATCACTTGTTACAAATTCCTTATGAAATTTAGAAAATTATCATAGAAAAGTTATCACTGATAATGTTCCCCGTAAGAAAATTACCTCTAGTGATATCTTTTATCACTTGTTTAAAGTTTCTTATGAAATTGAGAAAATTATCGTAGAGAATTTATTACAGGTGATTTTTCCCATAAGAAAATAATCACCGGTGATATTTTTTCATAGAAAAAAAAAATTATCTCTAGTGATATTTTTATCACTTGTTATAAATTCCTTATGAAATTTAAAAAATTATCATAAAAAAGTTATCACTGGTAATTTGTCCCATAAGAAAATAATCACTAGTGATATTTCTTCACAGAAAAAAATTATCTTTAGTGATATTTTTTATCACTTGTTACAAATTCCTTATGAAATTTAGAAAATTATCATAGAAAATGTATCACTGATAATTTTCTCCGTAAGAAATAATCACTAGTGATATTTCTTCATAGAAAAAAATTATCTCTAGTGATATTTTTTTATCACTTGTTGTCAATTTCTAATGAAATTCAGAAAATTATCATAGAAAAATTATCACTAATAATTTTCGCCATAAGAAAATAATCCCTAGTGATATTTCTTCATAGAAAAAAATTATATCTAGTGATATTTTTTATCATATGTTTTAAATTTTTTATGAAATTGAGAGAACTATCATAGAAAATTTATCACTGGTATTTTTTCCCGTTAGAAAAAATCCCTAGTGATATTTCATCATAGAAAAAAAATTTCTATAGTAATACTTTTTATCCCATGTTTAAAATTTCTAATGAAATTGAGAAAATTATCATACAAAATAATCACTGGTGATTTTCTTAACCAAAAAAATGATCTTTAGTGATATTTGGAAAAGTTATCACTGGTGATAATTTTTTTTAAGAAAAAAAATATCACTGTCAATATTTTTCCCAATTAAAATCACAACAAGAGACGTTATTTATAAAACAAATAGGTGATTATATTTCTACGAGGTAAAATTATCATCAGTGATATTTGTTCATTGTAAAAAATATTACTGGTGATAATTTTCCAGAGGAATTTTATCCTTGGTGATAGAAAAATTTTTACTAGCGACAATTTTACTAGCGACAATTTCCATAGAGGAAATATAACTTGCGATATTTTTCCTAGAAAAAATATCACTGGTAATTTTTATCTTTAGTAAAATTATTAGCGGTGATATTTTTTCAAATTATCACTAGTACAATTTATTTTACAAAAAAATCACTCATAATTTTCATCTCCAGTAAAATTATTAATGGTGATATTTTTCCAAATTATCACTAGTAAATTTATTTTACAAAAATTATCACTGGTGATAATTTTCTTTAGCATTACTGTATCGGTGATAATATTGTTGGTTTAGAAAAAATAGAAAAAGGGATATTGTATTCTATACTCCTCTTCCTCTCTCCATTATTATTATTTTTTTTTTTTTTGCCTTTAAATATCTCACAACCTAGAAGACAGCCCCCAGCAGCATTATATATCACTCTCACTATTTCTCTTCCATCCTTTGTCACGTTAAATTTCATTACATCAAACAATGACAAGCGACGTATATTTTGCTTTTATTTCGTTTTTTTTTCCTTCCTCTTTTGCTTTGGACATGCACTGCTTCATTTGACAACAATTGTCCAAAGCCATGGACACTGACTGACAATGGCCATCATCAGCCAAACATCCAGTCAACCGCACCAAAAAATATTCCTTACAAATGTCCATTTGTCACATGGCATCCAGATTTGGTCGTGCCAGCAAACATTTGGACGTATTGTCTGTAATGATTTTCCTTTCAACACAAAACTAATGTCAGTATATTTTTAATGTTTCCCCTCTCTCTCTCCCTCTCTTTGCAGATATTCGAGGCCAGTAACATGATAGAGCAACAGCATCAGCAGCAGCAGTTGAAGCATAACGTTTGTCATCCCCTAAAACTCAAATGACATTTCCATTCAGGTGTCCCAGAACAATAACAGCAGCAGGAGCTACAACAACAAAAATATTAATAAACAAACCCAAGCTTCTTCTTCTCCCCCCCTCCACGCACACACACACACACCCAGAGCAGCAAAGTTGCAATAAAACACCTTTCAAATTTGGAAAATGTTGCACTCCTCAATGCAGGAGCATCATCAGCAACAACAACAACAACATGAATCTGCACGTCAGCCAAACATTTCAACCATTTCAGCCAAAAGGACACCCATGCAGCTACCACCACCTCAGGCGACTTCAAATGACCTCTATCGCACAAATGGTTCCACAGGCAACAATGCTGAGCTGCGACCCTTAACTGTGTCCCAATTGGATTTGGCCAATAATGGATTGGGTAGACGGCTCCATAGACAGGACTCGGAAACTGGTTCCTTCAATGCCCACAGCAGAGGCAGACTAAAAGATTCAGGGGGTGGTGTCGGTGTCAGCAGTACAAACTCCAACAATATGCATTCCAACGAAGCTCCAACAGCTGTCCTAGTCAACTCTGCTGCGGACAATCGCCATCGCAGATGTGGCAGCACCAACAGCACCCGCAGCAATCAACTAAGAAAACCCAGTTCCTCAAGTGGTGGTGGTCGTACCACCACCTCATCGGCGGCAGCCTATTCCGGTATGAATCCCAGCTCAGCCCAGCAACAAATGAAACCTGCCTCTCAGCTCACAAATCCCGCTGCAGTGCGTCCCATCACCCAACAGCCCCACCAAAACTCCAACAACATGTCATCCTCCTCCAACCCGACATCAAGCCAAGCCAAGAAACCCGCCACGGATCGCAGTGATGACGAACGGTTAAGCACCACAGCCGATAGCACGGGAGGTTGTGGTGGCGGTGCCGGTGAATCCCGACGCATGCATCGTCGTCGTCGCTCACGACGAAGAAATAAACCAATGAATGGCGGCGGCGAAGGCATGTCATCATCCCCATCCGATTCATCCTCTTCCTCATCGTCGGGCTCATCGACCGCCTCGAGCTGTAATGGTTCCTGTAGTTCAGATGATGGGGAGTCATCTACCTCGTCGGGTGAACCGAATTTGCCATATCCGGGATTTCCTGCAGTTGCATTGAAGTATCTGACACAGGATACGAGGCCTAGGAATTGGTGTTTGATGTTGATAACAAATCCATATCCTTTTCAAAACAAGACATTTACTTTTTTAATTTTTTGTTTTCGAAGACAACAACAACAAAGGAAACCTCTTAGAGTAAAACAAAAAAATTGGAGAAGTTTTTGGAGGTTCCAAGGCCAGGGAGCTATATCAACATCTTCCAAATTGAAGCCAGACAGGGAAACAGTCCGCCAGACTCAATATAAAGACCCTTCCCTGGCCCCTCCCCTGGTATATCCAGTTGGTGTAAAGGGACCTGTTGGTCTGTGGAGACTTTACTAGAGACCTTCTGGTTCGCCTAATTGGTCTTTATAGACTTCTTATGTAAACTTGCTGATTCGTCCAGATGGCCATTGCAGATTTGCTGGCCGGGCCAGCTACTGTATGGAATTCTGCTGGCGCGCCCAACTTATGTATGGAAAATTGCCGCCTGGGTCAGCTTGTCTATTGAAAATCTGCTGATCGGATCAGCTTGTCTATGGTGACTTGCTGGCCAAGTCAGCTGGTATATGCTAGTCGGGTCAACTTGTCTATAGAGTCTTCCCGACCAGACATTGAAGTATCTGACACAGACACCACCTTGTCTATGGAGGCTGGCTGTTCTGGTCAGCTTATCTATGGAGACTTGTTTATATAAACCTGCTAGGCCGCTATCCTGTGCTATGAAGACATTCTGGCAGGGTTAGGCTCTCTATGGAGACTGTCTGGTTGGGTCAGCTTGCCTATGGAGACTAGCTGGTCGGGTCAATTTGTCTACGGAGACTTGCCGGATCAGCTCGTCTTTGGAGGCTTGCTAGACGCGTCTGCTTCTCTATGGAGACTTCCTGACCAGATTAGCTTGTCTGTGGAGACTTTCTGGCCGGATCAACGTATTTATGGAGGCTGCTTGTTCGGGTTAGCTTGTCTTTGGAGACATGCTACCGGGATCAGTTTGTTTATATAGACCTGCCAAGCGGGCGTCCTGTCCTATGGAGACTTGCTGGCCGGGTCAGCTTGTCTGTGGAGACTTTCTCGTCGGCTCAGCTCGTCTATGAAGGCTTACTGGGTCGCCTAGCAGGTCTATGGAGATCTGCTGGTAGGCTAACTTTGTCTGTGGAGACTTGGTAGTCCGGTTAGCTTGTCTATGGGGACTTGCTGTCCAATTTGCTCGTACCGGTGGTCAGTGGAAGCTTGCTGGCCCAACTAGCTTATCTGTGAGGACTAACTGGCCCACCCAGCTTGTCTGGCTTTTGGACCATCCAGCTCATCGGTACCGTACCTATTTTCTATTTAGTCTGGTCTATGGAGGCTTGTTGGTAGGTCACTTTGACTGTGGAGACTTGCCAGCCGGGTCAGCTTTTCTATGAAGGTTTGCTAGACACGTCTGCTTTTCTATAGAGACTTCTTGACCAGGTTGGCTTATCTATGGAGACTTGCTAGCTGGGTCAGCTTATCTATGAAGATTTGCTGGCCGGATCAGCCCGTCTATGGAAACCTGTTGGTAGTGTTACTTTGTCTGTGGAGACTTTGTGGCCCGGTTAGCTCGTCTATGGAGACTTGGTGGCCCAATTAGCTTGTCTATGAAGACATACTGACCCATATATGTGGTTAAGGGATGCTTGCTGGTCTAACAAGATTATCTGTATGGATTGACTGGCCAACCCAGCATATTTGTGTAGACTTCCCGAATACTTTGGTGTAGACTTTGTACACAGCTTGTCTATAAAGGCTTTTGGTCTATTCAGCTCATTTGTACCGTACCCATTTCCTATACAGTCTCCTGGTTTATGGAGACCTGTTGGTAGGTCACTTTGTCTTTGGAGACTTGGTGGCCCGGTTTGGTTATATGGAGACCGGTTTGTTTGTACAGGTAGTCCATGGAGACTTGCTGGTCCATCAAATTTGTCGGTGTAGACTGTCTGGCCTAGTCTGCTTATCTGTGTAGACTTCCTAACACGCACTACATTTGTGTAGACTTTGTACACTGCTTGTCTATAAAGGCGTTTTGGCCCATCCAGCTCGTCTGTATCGCATCTTTTCTGTCTCATGGCCTTTGGAGACCTGCTGGTAGGGTTACTTTGTCTGTGGAGACTTGGTGTTTCGGTTTGCTTGTAGACGGAGACTTATTGGTTCGGTTAGCTTGTCTTTGGAGACTTGATGGTTCGGCTAGCTTGTCTTTAGAGACTTGCTTGCCTGGAAAGGTGGTCAATGGAGACTTGCTGGTTCTTCAAGTTTCTTTGTGGGGACTGACTGGCTCTCTCATCTTATCTCTGTAGACTTCCTGACACCTTCCACATTTGTGTAGACTTTGTACACAGCTTGTCTATAAAGGCGTTTTGGCCCATCCAGCTAGTCTGTACCACATCTTTTCAGCCTCCTGGTCTTTGGAGACCTGTTGGTAGGGTTAAATTGTTTATGGAGACTTGGTGGTTAGGTTTGCTTGTAGACGGAGACTTGATTGTTCGGTAAGCTTATCTTTGGAGACTTGCTTGCCCGGACAGGTGGTCAATGTAGACTTGCTGATTCTTCAAGTTTCTTTGTGGGGACTGACTGGCCCTCTCATCTTATCTCTGTAGACTTCCTGACACCTACCCCATTTGTCTAGACTTTGTACCCAAGTTGTCTATGAAGACTCCTCAGTCAATCCCGCTCGTCTATGCCCTACCCCTTGGCATTTCAGTCTCTCTGCCCCAAAATCAAAAAAATGTTCCTTTTAATCCTGTCAAGATTTATGTAGCTGTCAATGTCCATATCCTTCAAATTAGTTCTCTTAACCCGCCATGTAAATCTTCTATTTTTGTTTTCCCGTTTCCATACAACAACCATATGTCCCCGCTTTTTCACGCTCAACACTTTCTCGCCATGTTAATGTAACTTTAGAACTTTATTAGTCAACTTTGTTCTCTCTTTTTTTTTCGTTCGTTCCGTATTTTCTTTTCATTTTAACTGGACCCCAACTAAATCCCACCTTATGCAAATTACAATTTTAACAAATTAAAAGTTAAGCTGTAACAGTAACATCCTGACAAAATGGAAGTTAACAAAAAGAGACAGAGAGAGAGAAAGAGAAAACGTCGGAGAAACGGAGAAAAAAAACTAGAACGAAACGACCCATCCACAAGTGGTGGAAAAGCGCATAAACTGGCACCAGCTGTGCAAACAGCAAAAGGATTAGACAGAATTAAGTGCTGCTCATTAGCACAGTTTCTGTTTGGGAGTCATTTCGTGGTGGTCATGGAGCCAAAGCAGAAAAAATTACAAAGCGGAGGATGATGGGTACATTGTCCTTGTTTTTTTCTACTTTTTTCGTGAAATGGTTTTCGATTTGTCACCGGCTGCCAAAATGGCAACGAGTCGTGGCAATAGAATAGGAAATTTCAAAACCACATTTGCTGCCAAAAATGCACATTAAGGACTCTTTTGTTGGTCCCCAGGAAATGGTCTGATAAAACAATCAATGTCACTCCAATTGGAATGGGGTCATTATGTTAATATCTCTATCGATGACCCTTCTCTGTTTCTACAAGGCAATCGAGTTACGTTCACACACACACTCACCACTTTTCCAAACCATGTGGTGTCAAATGAACAACAATTCCCCGGGACCCAATCATGCCATTCATTAGCTTGCTCTCCAAAACACATTCTACCACCTGACCCCTGTGTAAAGTGGCGCCCAATATATTTGCTTTGCCAACATTTTCAAATCCGGACCTTGTCAAATGGAAAACTATTTGTTATTAATTTCCAAATGCAGCCGTCACCAGCGATGGTTGCTGGACTAACAAAATGACCCTTGTGTTTTTGTGGGTGGGAGTCTCCAGTGAGAAGGAGAGGGGGAGAACTCAAACCAACCCCTCCCCCCCCTCCACATGTCCAATGATTGAATATACAAATGCATTTGTTGTCCAACATCGACAACAACAAGACTGAGGAGATTTTTTTTTTTGGTTTCAGGACAATATGTTCACCAAAAACTCTCTGCTGGAGATGATGGCAAGTTCGTTTGAATGTCCCTCAAATGTATGAAAAGCGTGTTTTTTTGTCCTGTCCAGAACAACATTTTTAAATCGATTTTGTAATTAATTTTCATTTTAACATCAATTCGGTTATGGAGGAAGGGATGCCAACCAAATTGACTGAAGTGGCCAGGGAGGAAAATATTTAACTTTAGGAAGAGCACTAAATGTCCTTCAAATTCTCAGAACTCAAAACAAATATTTTTTTCTACTTCCTTCATTAGTTAGCTCTCTTGCCCGAGATATCTTCTTCCATTCTACAATAGAAGATCTCTCTCTCTCTCTTTCTCTTTCCCGAGAGGGCTTCTTCTATTCTACGATAGAAAAGCTCTCTCTTCCGCGAGAGGCCTTTTTCTGTTCTGCGATAGAAGAGCTCTCTCTTTTCCCCGAGAGGCCTTCTTCTATTCTACGACAGAAGAGCTCCCCCTTCCCCGAGAGACCGGTCTTCTATTCTACGATAGAAGAGCTCTCTGGCTTTCTCTCTCTCTCTCCCGAGAGGCCGGTCTTTTATTCTACGATAGAAGAGCTCTCTCTTCCACGAAAGACCGTCCTTCTATTCTACGATAGAAGAGCTCTCTCTTCCCCGAGAGGCCGGTCTTCTATTCTACGATAGAAGAGCTCTCTCTTCCCCGAGAGGCCTTCTTCTACCTCTCTCTCTCTCTTCCCCACGAAGCATTCTTCTATTCTACGATAGAAGAGCTCTCTCTTCCCCGAGAGGTTTTCTTTTATTATACGACAGAAGAACTCTCTCTTCCCCGAGAGGCCTTCTTCTATCCTTCGATAAAAGAGCTCTCTCTTCCCCGAGAGGCCTTCTTCTATCCTTCGATAAAAGAGCTATCTCTCCCGAGAGGCCTTCTTCTATTCTACGATAGAAAACCTCTCTTTCTTTCTCTTACTCCCTTCCTCTCTCTCCCTCTCCCTTTCCCTCTCCCTCTCCATCCCTCTCCATCTCTCCCCCTCTCCCCCTCTCCATCTCTCCCCCTCTCCATCTCTCCCCCTCTCCATCTCTCCCCCTCTCCATCTCCCACTCTATCTCTCCCCCTCTCTATCTCTCCCCCTCTCCATCTCCCTCTCTATCTCTCCCCCTCTCTATTTCTTCCCCTCTCCCACTCTCTTCTCTCTCCACTCGCTCTCCTTCTCTCTATATCCCTCTCTCTCAACTGTAGAAAAGCTAACTCTTCCCTGAGAGGCTTTCTTCAATTTTTCTATTTTTCTGTCTTCCCCGAGAGGTCTTCTTCTATTCTACGATAGAAAACTTCTCTTTCCTTCTCCTACTACATTCCTGGCTCTCCCTCTCTATCTCACCCCCTCTCTCCCTCAATCTCCCTCTCTCTATCCTTCTCTCTATCTCCCCCTCTCACAACTGTAGATCTCCTTATTTCGGGGCCGCCCCAATAAATTTAACACAACCACACACACACAGATAGTTTTCAACCAATACTTAGTTCAAACGAACTCTTTCTTACAAACCAGTCGGACATGCAATGATATGTCAAAGAAAATTAATGGTCTTATCAAGTCAGCTCAGTTCAGTTCAGCTCATATCGTAACGTATAATTTATCATTTGAAAGCTTTGAAAGCAAATTCAAGTGCAGACCAGAAATGTGTGTGTGCGAGTGTGTGTGTGTGACATTAAGCAAACCAATGGCAGTCACATGTGTGTATGAGTTTTGTTCAAACGACTGACTGTCTATCCTGCCTGGCTGGTTTGGTATCCTGCCTGGGATGTTTTACTCTTAGCTGGTAATCTATTTGTTTTTATCATGTTCGGCTTGTTGTTGTTATTGTCGTCGTTGCCTTATGGTATCGTCCTTGTATTGTTCTGTCGATGTTCTCGTTTGCCTGTTGTATATTTTTTGGTGTTTTCCTTAACTGCATTTTGATAACTATTGATTTTGCCATCAACACATGGTTCGAGCGTATCTCGATACTGGTGATTTTATTCAACTGCGTCACCCTGGGCATGTATCAGCCGTGTGTGGACGATGCCTGCGAAACGAATCGTTGCAAAATATTGCAGGTAAGTGTATATTTGTGTGTGTGTGTGTGTGTCGAAATATTGAATTAAGATGGGTGGGTGGATGATGTGTTGAACTTGAACAAACGATATGGAGGCAATGCAGGCACACATGGTTCAGGAAGTTGGCGGGCTTTAACAAACTTCTTGATTAGTTACCACATTAACCTGGGAAATGAAGTAAATTATTCGTACTCGGGTACTTGGTGATGATGTGTGTGATTGGTATTAAATTCGGGTGGGGGGATATGGGAGCGTATGTGAGTTTGGGTATCACTCATACGTCACATGGGCCGACGGGATTTCAAGTTATGGGAAAATTTTTGAGAAAAACAAATAAAAAATCGCTAAAATCGAACTTTTTATAACCTTAACGATTTAAAGAAAATTAAAAAAATGTAATTAAAGAAAATCCGTTTGAAAATCGAACTATAATTTTGAAAAATTCCGAATAACAGGTGTTATAGCTAATTATCTGCCCGAGAAGGGAGAGCGAACTCCAAACATCAAGTTTAAGTGCAGGCAGGTACTGTTATATGGGTTCCTCCCAATATTCACGAAGACGTGAATTTAAATGGGCATTTTTTTTTTGTCATAGAAGGCAGAGTCCACTGCGAAGACCGAATTCCGAATTTGGAATATTTCTGGAAAAAATGTGGCAAAAATCATCAAAATACCGAATATAGGAAAGTACAGTTATATGTTAGCTATACGAAAATGTTGACCTGTATAGGCAGTGTTTACTGCGAACTCCAAATTACCTTTACCTGATGTACTTGAAGGGGTTCATAGTTATACATCACCTTCACAACATATCTTGTGTTAGCAAAATTTTTTGGATTTGTGAAATTTGAAGAGAGTTGGAGTCTTATTTCGCTTCCTTCGAGCCTTTTCTTTTTCAAAATATTGAAACCTATGTGGGGGAGGTGCCAGAAGAAATGGTCAGATCCCCAAGATTTTTATAACAGATCTTATTATAATAAAAATATTGAGATGTGTCAGGTCAGAATGGAATCGGATGTTAATTTCGCGTTTTATGAGCTTCATGGATACTCCAAATTTTGACCCTTTGTGGGGGAGGTACCAGAAGGAGTGGACCGATATATCCCATCTTCACATCAGACCTTGAGTTAGTAGAAATAATGGCACGTGTGTAATACGAAGGAAACTGGATGCCTGTTTCGGATTTTATGATCGTTTCGATTATTCAAAACTTTGAACCTTTGTTGGCGAGGTTCCACAAGGAATGGTCCGATCTCTAACATCTTTATAACAGATCTCGTTTTAATAAAGATATTGAGATATGCCATGTCTAAATGGAATCAAATGTTAATTCCGCGTTTTATGAGCTTCATGGATACTCCAAATTTTGGTCCTTTGTGGGGGAGGTACCAGAAAGAGCGATCCAATATATCCCACGTTCCTACCTGACCTTGGGTTAATAAAAATATTGCGATGCGTGTAATTTTAAGATAATCGAACACTTACATCACATTTTATAAGAGTTAAAATTATTCTAATTTTTTACCCTTTGTGGGGGAAGCACTGAACCGATATTGTCCATTTTCTCTCCTGACCTACCACTAATAGAAATATTAGAATTTGCAAAGTTAGAACAAAATCGAGTTATCCTTTCTCTTTTTCTGTGCAGTAAATTATTTTCTTAGTAAATGTTAATATTTTGTGGGGGAGGTACCAGAAGGAGTGGACCAATATTGCCCATCTCCGAACTCGATCTAAGTTTGACAATAATATTACGATGTACCAAGTTTGGACAAAATCGGATAATCCCTTCGAGAGATATCCTGCGCACCACCACCAAACAGACGGACGGACTGACTCCAAATGTCCTGAAACGGATTTGTTATTTCAATGAGACACGTTTTGGTCGTAGCAAATGATATATACCCTCTGTCGTCATATGGCTGAGGGTATAATCATCAAAATACCGAATATCTAGATAAATGCGGGTCTACACTAAACCGTCGGCCAATTATCCTCCAGAGAAGGTAGTACCCATTAAAACTCTAAATAACAAATTTGAAGCAATTCCGGAGAAAAGTATGACAAAAATCATCAAAATACGGAATATCTGGACATACAGTTAGTTAAGGTCAATTATCTGCCAGGTCAGCCAATTATCTGCCAGAGAAGATAATACCCACTACGAACTCCAAATACTAAGTTTGAGACAATTCCGGTGAAAAAAGGCTAATATCATCAAAATGTTTCGGGAAAAAATAAGGCTAATATGACGTAAAACGGAATACCGATATATGGGAGTTACCCGAAGGCATGAACCTTTCATTGGAGGTAGTTCCCATTACGAACTAAAAATAACAAATTTTAAAGAATTCCGGTAAAACTGGAGAATTGCTCCGAGTAGCTGGAGGTGAAATTATATGGGGTCGTTAAATAGTTACAAAATAGGCCCAGAGGCCAAATACTAAATTCGAAACAATTCCGGTGAAAAATGAGGTAGTATCATCCAAAACCGAATATTTCGGTGAGTATCCATATATGGGAGCTACACGAAGGCATGGTCCTGTCATAGGTACTATAAATAGCCAAATTTAAAGAATTCCATTAAAAGTGGAGAATTGCTCGGAATATCTGGAGGTAGTTTTGTATGGAGTCGTTAAATAGTTACAGAATAGTCCCAGAGGATTGCTCGAAGAGTGGGAGCTACACGAAGGGATGGTCCAGTCATAGGAACTATAAATAGCCAATTTTAAAGAATTCCGATAAAACTGGAGAATTCCTCGGAATATCTGGAGGTAGATTTATATGGAGTCGTTAAATAGTTACAGAATAGGCCCACAGGATTGCTCGAAGAGTGGGAGTTATTTATGGAGTCTTCTCTTTACTCTTTTGTTTTGTGTCGGGGCAAAAATTCAAAATAGAACAAGAGTTCGCTCGAAGAGTGAAAATTTGTGGAACAAAATATTTAGTTTCCTAATTAGCAAACGGGGGAGGAAGGTGAAGAGGGGGAATAGGGTTTTGAGGGTGACGAGAGGCGAAGAGATGAGAAGAATGGGAGAGGGGGTGATCTTGCCCAAAAAAATGTACATACACAGAAAAACAACAACTGTATGATTTTGAACAAACTTTACTCCCACTCGAACGATGTAGAAAATTGGGTTTTCTCGGTTTTTTCCTATCCCAGGATCGCACTCTCTCCAAGTCGATTGAGTTTCAATCTTTGTCAAAATTCGAGCGAGTTTTTCGGAGACCTGAATAATACACGAATACTAATTAAAACAGTGCCTCGTTGCGTATGAGTAATAAAGACAATTTGGACATTACGCATACGCCCTGTATATGTGATATTATTGACAAATTTGTGCGTGGAAACTCCTTCAGATTTTTTTTTTTTTTTTTTTTGTTAGAAAAATCCATATTTCCCGTTTTCGAAAAATCATTCCCTTTCTAAAAGAATCCATATTCCATTCAATATTTCATTAAATTAACTTATCATCATCATCTCCACATGTCATTGTTGTACACACTTCATATTGTCTCTCTATTCACTTACGTCCTATTCTCCGTCCTTCTCTCTGCCCTTGTCTCTATTTAATATTCGCAAGTCATTTCTAGGAATTATCTTGTGACAAAGTTACTACTGCTCACATAATTTCAGAGGCAGAGTAAAAGCGTTCCACTTGTGAATATCCTGCGACATGTTTAGTGGCAGGATACGGTATTGCCAATGTCGTTGTTGTTGCTGCTGATATTATTGTGACACGTAAGATATGGCGTAAAGTCGTCATGATGTATGTGCCTGTGTTGTAACTTTTACGGGACTTTGGAGAAAACAATAATAGATCACGTTCCACATAACAGCAACAACAACAACAACAACAACGACAGGTTGCTACTTTGGCTTAGGTCTTTCGTACAACACATTCCAGCTGATATTCTATCTATAAAACATTGTATTTTAATGGCATCCAAAAAGCTTATTGATGCCATAAACATTCAGACAGAGCGGAGCGGAGCGGAAGAGAGTGGGGGAATGTGGAGAGAAACAAACAAACAGTCTCAAATGTTGTTCACATCAAAACTGTTTAGATTTTGACAATGCTGTCATGGGTGTGTGTGTGTTTTGGGAGGAGACGTGTATGTTTTGGTTAATGGCATGTAAAATACTATCGAAAAGAAGAGGGAGAGAGGGAGGGCGTAATGAACAAATGTTTATCTTCTGTTATAATGTTGTCAGACAGATAGACACACGACGCACACACACACACGTGCAAAAGTCAAGTAGCGGCAATAACAATTGTTTTACTGCTGTTCTCTGGCAATAAAGTTACATATGTCATCGTGTCGGTATGTACGTGTATGTGGCGTATGATTGATATTTAATTTATCTTAATTACTCATACGTAATGAGGTGCAGAAGGAACTTGGTATTCTTTATGCGACACCTAGTTGGAGAAAATGTTTTTAGGGGGCTCCAGGGGTCTAGAAAGTCCAAAAAATTTGATGGATGTTTGAATATGTCCGAAAAAAAACTTTAAAAATATTTCCTGAGGTGTAAAAGTGAAAGTAAAAGAATGTGGATTTTTTAAAATAGTTTTCAATAGAGTTTTAAAACCTAGTTTTTTTTTTTGTAAATTTTACAAATTTTTACAGGCTTCCAGGAGCTATCTGCCTTTAAGAGAGGATTCTTTAAAAAAAATAGTTGAATTACCAAACCAAAAAAAGATGGATTTTTTTAAAAGACTTTGTCAACGATTTTTTTAAGATTTTTTCCAAAATTTACTCAGAAAATGTTTAAGATATAAACAAATATTTTGGAAAAAATCAAAAAAATAGTAGAAAAGTCTTTTAAAAAATCCAACTTTTTTTGGTAGATTTTTCAAAGGACTTTTAAAACTATTTTCTTAAGATTTTTTCCAAAAATTTTCTCAAGAAATGTTTAAGATATAAACGTCGATTTTTCAAAGGACTTATAAGGACATAACAGACTACAAACGTGGATATTTTTTTAATTTTCAGAAATTCCTTTGTAGCGATTTTCCAAGAGATATCTAAATTAGAAAAGTGGACTTTTCAAAGGAATCATAAGGACATTACACCCCAAAAAATGTGGATACTTTTTAACATTTTAATTATTTCAACTACTTTTTTAGAGCGATTTCCCAAGTAATTTCCAAGATATAAAAATAGAGATTTTCCCTAAAAAATTCTATAATAGGAAGATCGATTTTTCAAAGGACATTACAGCCTATAAATGTGGATATTTTTTAAAAATGTAAAAAAAAAAACTTTGTCTACTATTTTTTAAAGATTCCTTTAACAGCGATTTTCTCAAGAAATTTCCGAAGAAGAAAAATAGATTTTTTAAAGGACTCATAAGGACATTAATGTCTATAGACGTGGTTATTAAAAAAAATTAAAAAGACTTTGTCTGCTTTTTTGGAGATTTCTTTTACAGAGATTTTCTCAAGAAATTTCCAAAGATGAAAAATAGATTTTTCAAATGACTCATAGGGACATAACAGCCTATAAACGTGGATTTTTTTGAGGACTTTTTATTATCTTAAAAATTTGAAAGTTCTCAATGATTTTCTCGGCGATTTTCATATTTAACAGCAAAGGAATATAGAAGGACTTCTTCTTTAACAAAACATTAAGGGCATATATTTTTTCAAGGATATATTTTTCGACATTTTTCTCAAGGACATCCAAACTAAAAAAATTGATTTTTTAAATATTTTTTAAGAGCTACTGACAAGGAGTTTTTAATCATTTTTAAAGATTTTTCGAGGACTTTTCGTTCTCACAAAAATTTTCTTGATTTTTCAAAGTTCCCAATGACATAAAACATAAAACTTACAAACATTTTCTTTAGGATTTTCCAATTTGAAAATGTGATCTTTTTAAATTCTTTCGAAGACTTTCCAATCAGACAACGGAAATTTTTTTTCAAGATATTCCTACCTATAAAACATAATATTTCTAACAATATTTTCTCAAGGACTTTCCGAGCTAGAAATTTTAATTTTTTAATTTTTTAGACAACTTTTTAAACAAAGATGGATTTTGTAAAACAATATTTTCAAGGACTTGATGTGGAATGTGGAAAGATTTTTTAGGATATAATTTTTTCTAAAATCTTCTCAAGGTCTTTTCAAACAAAAAATGTGGATTTTTGTAAAAAAAAAAAACAATTTTTTCTGAAAAGAAATTAAAGGGGTTTCTTAAACATTTATCAAGAATATTCTAAGTTAGACTAGGTTAGAGAATTTGTAGTTACTATTGAGACCTTTGCCCGCAAATGAAGAAAATGAGTCGAAAAGAGTTACGTTTGAACTCTGGCACCACATTGAAATCATGAGACGAATGAAATCGCCACCCCCTCCCCTTGCCTCGTAGTCTTTCCCTTGATAGATCAGGACAGTGGCAAAAAGGTCTTCAACCATTTCATTCTCTTTCTCATCCTTCTGCGTTAGAGTTATCACATTTTGGCGTAAATCAGGACTAAATATATTTCCCTGAAAAATTGAACAGGGGTGTCAAAGAGAAATAAATATATTGCGAATAGAATACCTTGTCAAATTTTGGAGGTTAGTACTAACTCTAATTTAAAATTGCATGCGTATGATTGTTTTCAACAAATATGTATATTGATCATACGTCCATGATGTACCACGTGGATTGAAACTCGTTGCGTATGATCGATTTTGGTCTTATGTTACTCATACGCTCAATTTGAAATATTTAAGGCCATGCGTATTACAGTTAAAAAAATCTTCCACCCATCATTTTTTTTTTGTTTTTGTTTTTTTGATTACAGCAATTTCTAAATATTCCTGACTCCTTTCAAAACTAATATCCTTTTTATTAATTCTTGATAAAAAAAAATCTCCTCCAGACATTCGATGATATCATCTTCGCCTTCTTCGCCTTGGAAATGTGCATTAAAATGGTCGCCATGGGAATCTATGGCAAGACCACCTATCTGGCTGACTCTTGGAATCGTTTGGATTTTTTCATTGTACTGGCTGGGCTCTTGGAATATGTTATGCATGTGGAGAATTTGAATTTGACCGCCATACGGACAATCAGAGTTTTGAGGCCGCTGCGGGCCATTAATCGAATACCAAGTAAGTTGGAAATGAAGTTTACAATTTTTTTTCATAATTTTGAATGATAACAATTTTTTTATTATATTTTCTTAAAAATTTAAAAAAAAAAAATATTAACGAAAATATTAAACCAGGTATGCGTATTTTGGTAATGCTGTTACTGGACACCTTGCCCATGCTGGGCAATGTCTTGTTGCTGTGTTTTTTCGTCTTCTTTATATTCGGCATTATCGGTGTCCAGTTGTGGGAAGGTATATTGAGGCAACGTTGTGTCCTTGAGCTACCCGCATTTATCAAAGTGCCCATGAAGTAAGTTTTGCATTCGTATTTTCCTCTCAGCTACTATAAAAATACTCATTTCTAGATTTCTGAAAAAAAAAAACATATTTTGATTTTTTTCTTTTGATTTTGAAATTATTGAGAAAAAAACCGAATAAATTTCGTATCTACCGTTACTCTATCCTTTATGTATTTACTAACTGAATATGAATAACAATAACAACTTAAATAGCCAAGACCTGTGTGAGAATCACAACTAAAACAATGCAAACTAATCTAGCCATGATTAACCTAGAAGTTTAGACGAGTTATGATGGTATTTAAAAAGAGAAATATTTACAAAAAAAAATAAATAAAAACGCCAAACAAGAAAAATGTGTGTTATAGCCTTTCCCCTGAGAGTCAAATGTTTCACCCCTCCCCCAAGCTCAAGAATTTGCCTTATTCTTGGTAGAAAAATCATATAGCAGAAGGGTCTTATTAGTAGGGACCTTTTTTAGAAATATAAGTTTGTTATTTTCCTTTCCCTTTTAATTTAATTTCCCCTTGAGTTCATCTGCTTTAATTTTCCTGCTTCAATTTTGCCAAAAAAAAAAAAAAAACGAAAACCCCTCACCATAGTTTACTCATTTCGTTATGGTTTTGCTGTTGCCCTTTTAAACAAAATTTTAATTAGCCAATAATTTTTTAGTTGACATCCGTAAGTTACTCAAAACTTTGTAGAACAAAAACAATTATTAACCCAACTCAGTAGAAAAAAAAAAACAAAAATGTTCAGTCATTGATACTAACACAGATCTCAACAGAGGAAGACTCCAAACATCCCCCCCACTAGGGAAAGCAGAGCAGAACAAAATCCATTCTCATAAATCATCGACACGCCAAACAAAATATTAGCCTAGTTGGGGATCGAAAAAAAACACGGGATACAAAGAGTACAAATGTTAGTACATAACGTACCAATACGTACTAAATATACAGGGTGAGATGAAAAAACTGCAACAAATTCAAACGCCATAATTTTTATATATTTTTTAAATTTTATTCAACAAAAGCAAAAAATGTCCGAAATAGCATCAAATTGTAAAAGAAGTTTAGATTTGTTCGAATTGGTCACCTTTGACACGAATTATGGCCTTCAAATGGCCAATGAAACCGTCACACGCTGCCCGAATGTTGCTCTGCGGTATTGTGGTCCATTCCCGGTGAAGTGCTTGCTTGAGGTGATCGACACTCTGGTATTTTTTAGTGCCAACCTTGCATTCCCAAAAACTCCAGACACAATAGTCCAACGGTTTGGTATGCGGAGATTTTGGTGGCCATTGTGCGCTGGAAATTAAGCGAGGAACCTCATTTTGTAACCATGCTTCGGCGGCGCATGCTGAGTGCGATGGTGCTGAGTCCTGTTGGAATGTCCAAAGTCCAAGTCTTTAATACACCCTCCAGAATATATTCGCTATAATATTCGCCTTTTATTCTGATGCCACTTTCGATTAATACGAGAGAGAGCGACCATCGGCCGTTAAGGCGGCCCACACCATCACCATGGCCGGCGCGTGAATTCTGATGACCAACCGAATAACCGGTGCACATTTTCAGCTAACCTCTTTGGCAAGTAAACACGATCATTTTGTTTGTTCACAAACTGCTGGACAACGAATATTTTCTCATCGGAGACGGAGAAAATCAAATTCGGCAGTTCACCACTTTTGGCCTAGCGAATCAACTATTTAACTCTTTTGAATCTATTTTCTTTCTGTAGCGGTTTAAGATCTTGCACTTTTTAGAAATGCAACAGTCTAAAGTTGCAGTTTTTCATCTCACCCTCCATGTAAAATATGGACGTTTCATCAAAATAGCAGCGAAACGTAATCAAAATTTTTCAAAAGTTTACCTTTTTTTGCAAAAAATCGAGTGAATAGTACCTTTTTTAAAAATAGTTCCAAAAATTCGCAGAAAGAAGGTTCACTCAGCAAAAGGCTCTAATGTAAACCTGCTATAACTGACGTACCTTCTATGCAAATAAAATCCACCAAAAGTCCGATGTATGCGATGTACTTTCTTAACAGAAACTGATACCAAATTGTTCAATTTCCCCTTTTCAAAATGCAACAAAAGTACTCTTTGCTCTCCATCTTGATTTAAGCAATCTAACTCTCTTCAAAATCTCTTTTCGACCTGCCCACCTCGCCCACCAGAACCCTACCAGACCACAATAACAATACAAGAAAAACCATCATTTGTAATATAATCGCTGTAAATACACACATTTGTAACTCGCCGTTATTCACCCCCCGCAAAGATATCTACATTCCAGTGTAAAGACTCCAACGATATTTGTAATTTGTTTTACAGTGTATATAAAATCCACCCCAAGAAACAAAAATAATACTTCGCATGTTTTGAGCTTCGCAGGAGGTGTCATTGGTGGCTAAAATAACTAGAAACAAAAATTTATAAAAACTTAAAAAATAATAAATTCTCTTTAGAACAAATTAGCCCCTTAAAAAAGAAAATAAAAATCCTACAAAATAAACTGTTATACGTTAAGAATACATAAAACACGTTAAATAAGATTTACAGAAGCATTTGGTTGAAAATTGAAAATCAAAAAACTGTTATACAAACTGTTATACAACTGTTATACAAACTGTTATACACACTTTTTATGCACTTTTCTCGTGTAAAACAGCTAATCAGTTTGTTTTCTGCAAAAAATTCCATAATTCCATAAGGGAAATCTGTTATACAACACCTTTTTGGAATTTTTTAAGTATTCAAAGCTATATTAATTTTTTTTATTATAATTGTTTACAATTCCGAACACAAAAATTTGTACTTACAAAATTTCTGTGGAGTTTTGCAACAATTATGGTTCAAGAGGAACTGTTATACACGCAATTTTATATATTTGGTAGCCATCTCACCTAACCAAACTATTTTCTATGGGCGTTAGAAAATAACAGCAATGCAACAAAATTTGTCATGCCTAGCCATAGTTTTCTATAGGCGAAGCTGTTATACATAAGAAAATATCCGCTATACATCAAAATTTACCACATAAAAACTGTTATACAAACTGTTATACACACTTTTTATGCCCTTTTCTCGCATATAACTGCTAACCAATTAGTTTCCTTGAAAAAATTCTCCGTTAAATTCACAATTCCATAAGTAAAAATTGTTATACAACAACTTTTTTTTGAAATTTTTTAGTATTCAAAATTATATTAATTTTTTTACAATTACAAACACAAAAATTTGTACTTTCAGTGGAGTTTTACAAACAAAGATAAACTGTTATACTCGTAATATCAAATATTTTGTAGCCTTCCCACTGAAAATTCTCTAGCATAACTATGTTTTTCTATAGGCGAAGCTGTTATACATATATATAAATAGCCGCTGTACAACAAAATTTACCACATAAAAACTGTTATACAAACGGTTATACACACTTTTTATGCACTTTTTTCGCATATAACTACTAACCAATTAGTTTCCTTGAAAAAATTTTCCGTTAAATTCATAATTCCATAAGGTAAAACTGTTATACAACAGATTTTTTGGAATTTTTAATTATTCAAAATTATATTAAATTTTTCTACAATTACAAATACAAAAATTTGTACTTTCAAATTTTCAGTGGAGTTTTACAAGCAATTTCTTCTGTAGACTAACTGTTATACACATAATATTAAATATTTGGTAGCTTTCTCGCTGAAAATTATCATGCCTAGCCATATTTTTCTATAGGCGAAGCTGTTATACATAAGAAAATAGCCGCTGTACCAAAAAATGTACCACTTAAAAACTGTTATACAAACTGTTATACACACTTTTTATGCCCTCTTCTCGCATAAAACTACCAACCATTTAGTTTTCTTCCAAAAATTCTCCGTTAAATTCATAATTACATAAGGGAAAACTGTTATATTACAGCTTTTTAAATTTTTTTTAATATTTAAAATTATATTACATTTTTTTATTATAATTTTTTACAGCTACGAACAAAAAAAATGTATTTTCAAATTTTAATGGAGTTTTGCAAACAATTATGCCTGAAGATTAACTGTTATACACACATTTTTAAACATTTGGTAGCTTTCTCGCTGAAAATTGTCATGCCTATATTTTTCTATATTTTTCTATAGGCGAAGCTGTTATACATAAGAAAATAGCCGCTGTACCAAAAAAATTACCACTTAAAAACTGTTATACAAACTGTTATACACACTTTTTATGCCATTTTCTCGCATATAACTACTAACCAATTAGTTTCCTGGAAAAAATTCTACGTTAAATTCACAATTCCATAAGGAAAAACTGTTATACAACAGCTTTTTTGGATTTTTTTTTAGTTTTCAAAATAATATTTTTTTATTATATTTTATATAAATTACAAACACAAAAATTATACTTTCAAGTGTTAATGGGGTTTCACAAAAAATTATTGCTTAAAATAAACTGTTATACAGAATAACCTATTAAATATGAATTCTCATGCATACTAATATTTTTGTACAGGCTAACCTGTTATGTAGAAGAAAGTAACAGCTACACAACAAAATTTGCCATACGAAAACTGTTATACAACATTTTTCAAGTTTTTGCCATATAAAAAACTGTTGTAATAATCAACTTTACTTCAGTTATTTCCTTTGCTATAACTATACTGCATATCAGAAATCCTATCATTTTAACATTACTATATATTATTAAAAGTACCAACTGTTATACAAACTGTAATACACATCTTTATACACTTTTCCAATATAAAGACAAATTTCCCCTTTTTAAACATTATTCTATAGGATAGCTATTGTTTTTCTATAGTTTTTGCCCCTCAATACAGATCAAAACTGTTATACAATATATTTACGGTTCATTTATAGGATATTTAAGTGGAAATTGTCATGCAAAACAGTATATTCACATGTGAGAACCTGTTTTACATAATTATTAATGTTTATACAAACTGTTCTACAGTAAATTTTACCCGAATAAAATTTTAACAACTCTTCTAAAAA